CGAATAAACCTTCTCCCTTTTCAGCATTTATATTCTTTCTCTTAATTGCTTGTAGAGCTGAATACAACCTGAGCACAAGTACAAATTAAGATGCCCCGGGATACACAGACATATAGGACAATATCCCAGTCCTTTTTTTTATTCAATGTGTCAATGTGGATTGCTCAAACCGCTCTCTTGTCATCCCAATCATTAAGTCGTTAGCTATTGCACTTTACTGCACAATTGTCTTGGCTTGATAATGAAAAAATTATGTTAAAAAAAAAATTTGGCCACACAATCTACCATCGTTTTTGGGACACAGTTGTGCGAAATTGGCTGCCGCGTTTCACCCACAAAATACACAGTCACTACATTTTAAGATATATTCTTTGAAGCGATTTGAGATATATCAACGATGTCATAAGACACTACATCAAATGCAAGGATTATTATTGTCACAGCCTTAACCCGGTTTGCAGTAAAAGATTAATGGCTAAACTGCTGTTAGCGACAGCGCGTTTAAATCTTATTTGGCAATCATCAATTCAATTTATCTTCTTTCCCTTTTCATCAACAACAGTATATAATATAGATAAAGTTGTAAACATTTCAGAGTTGCACAATCCTCGTTATTGTGTATCTCTAGTATCAAACAAAGCATTTAAAATAAATTCAATCTTACTGTTAATTGCCCCTATTCTCATATTCCCCCCAGAAATTCTAAAAAGCATTTGACACATATTTAAGTGACTCTTTTTCAAACGAATGCCAATGGTTATTAATAACATTAATTATATGTCAAAAAATTTGGCCACACAATCACACAAACGCGGCAGCCAATTTCGCACAGCTGTGTCCCAAAAACAATGGTAGATTGTGTGGCCAAATTTTTTTGAATATAATTTTTTCATTACCAAGCGACGACAAATGTGCAGTAAAGTGCAACAGTAGGAACTTGATGATTGGGATACAATAATTTTTAATGTAATTATTATTAATAATAACGATAATCCTTGCATTTGATAAAGAGTCTTTCACATCCAGAGGTCATCTCAAAGCATTTCACAGGACATACAGTAATGTATAGTGACTATGTTCTTTGAAGGCGCATGCCTACATATTGTAGGGTATGAAGGGTAAAGACATGGTTGTGGATTATTATCTGTCTGAATAAGAGGTGTCATAGCGTAATTGCAATGGATGTCGGGTCAAAATAGAGGAGAATTGAGCAGGAGCACCTCAGAAGCTTGGAATCTTCATGAACCTTGTATACATAATTGACCTGGATTCTCTGACTGAATGAAAGGAGGTGAAAGACAGGTGACGTCAAGCTGAGAGGAACTGTGGAATCCGAAGAGGCAGCCAAAGTTGTACAAGGCGAGCTGCACAGGATAATCACTTTGGGCTGACGTTCAAGGCGAAGGAACTGCCCATTGGCAGTAAAAATGGGAGACACAGAGAGGACAGAATTGCTATGGGAGAAGTTGAAAGAGACCCAGGGATGTTTATTAACTCACAGCTCAATGTGTCCAAACAGCATGAGGCCGCAATAAAGAAAGCAAAGGGGGTCACATTGCCAAACCAATTGAGTCAAAATTCTCAAAAGTCCTGTTCAAACTGCTTCAATTATGCTACACCTGGAGATAGTGTACAACATAGTTCTGCAACATAGGTGGCAACCCAACACTTAGAGTTTGCCTGAGACAGTGCTGAGGAAAGCAGCGCAGAAGATCCCCAGTGATAAATGAAGGGGCTAGATAAGCCTTCATAAGGAGACATCTCCAAGGAGACCTTAAGGAGCTATGTAGAATGCTTAACAAGCAAAGAAAGCAGCAGGGCAAGAGGGTAAATGTTATTAATTGTGGATATGTTTAGGAAAGGCATCAGCGAATACAGAGGGTACCTTTTGCAGAGGGTAAGAAACAGTTTACTATAAGGTTAAGGCCAGGATTTTGGATTAATTTAAGAGAGAGCTTCATGCTGGTAGGATTGGTATTCCGGAAGGATGAGATTAAATAAGGCTAAAAGATCTTTAGCATATGAGGTGAAAGGCACTATATCAAATGTTAGGATTGTTATTATTATCATTTTCATCATTGTACCTCTATATGTAGTTTAGCATCTCATTAGAATATGTTGGAACACGCTAAAAATTCCTCACAAAATGACTTGGTGAACATTGGTTGTGCATAAGCTTCAATGAGATAAAATTGGTCATTTACTTCAGTTTGTGTAGTCATTGCTTTGTGCAAGTTGGCTGCCATGTTCACCTACATATACAAAATCACTACACTTTACAGTAAATTCTGCAAAACGCTTTGAGACATTTCAACAATGTGATAACAACAACAACTTGCACTTATATAGTACCCTCCACGCAGGGTAGAGTCTCAGAGCGCTTAACAGTGGAACCTGACTCTGACTGGGGGGGGTGGGGAGGGGAGGGGGAGTTGGCTGTAAGCACGGTCGAAGAGGAAAATTTTCAGGCGGGACTAGAAAAAGGGGAAAGAGGAGGCAAAGCGGAGGGATGGGGGAGAGTGTTCCAGAGTTTTGGGGCTTAGTGGCTGAAAGCGCGACCTCCAATGGGGGGCAAAGGGTGCAAGGGATGAGCAGGAGGTCAGTGCTAGTCGAGCGGACGCGGGTGGTGGATTGGGACTAAAGCATTGTCAGAGATGCCATTCTTCAGATAAGACATTAATCTAAGGACCTGTTCAAGTAGACGTTAAAGATCCCATTCCACTCTTCAAGAGAAGAGTTTCTCCCAGTGGCACTATCAATCCCCCAAATAAAATTGGCCATTCATGTCATGACTGTTTACTCACCTTGATGTGCAAATTGGCTGCCGCATTCGCTTACAGTAAATACTGTGAAGCACTTTTGTCTCAACGACGTGATAACAACAACAACTTGCATTTATATAGTGGCCTTCACTCGGGATAGCGTCCCAGAACGCTTTGATATAGATAAGCTACTATATCAAATGCAAGTACCCCTTTGTGTAAACTGTCTGCCACATTTCCCCTGCAAAATACAGTCAATCCACTTTACAATATATCCTGTGAAGCGCTTTGAGATGTCTCGATGACGTGATAAGGCTCTACATCAAATGCAAGGATTATTATCATTACTTCCATGGTCAGGCTCCATGACCCTATCAACCCCATCCTTTCCCAACTCCACTGGCTTCCCATCACACAGAGGATACAGTTCAAAATCCAGGTCCTCACCTTCAAAGCCCTCCATGGTTTTGCTCCCCTCTACTGCTACCTCTACTACTTCCTAACGCCCTACCATCCACCTCGCCCCCTCCCCACCACCTTCAAGACCCACCTCTTCAACTGTGCCTTCGATCTCCCTGCTTCCCCCACCCCTGCCCTCCATTCTGCCCGACCCCATCCTCCAGCTCGGGTCCATAACTCTGTCTGTCCAGCGCCTTGGGACGTCCTCCCGACGTGAAATGCGCGATACAAATGTAATTTTGTTGTTGTTGTTGTTCCTTACAATACAGTCAAATCAATTCAGCCCATTCTCTTTTGCAAAGACCACTGATAATATATCTCTATTTCAGAACCAGGTGATATGGATTACACACATAGGTTGGCCACTGCACTTCATATGTTTGTAAAGATTGAACGTTTGCTCCGTAAAGTGGAGTCTGTGGGCAGGAGTGATCAAAAAAAAAACGGGTTAGTCGTGTTGCAGGAAAGCAAAATAATAATAAAAATAAAATAAAGCAAAATAACGTATAAAATAAAAACAAAACAACAAAATAAAAGAACGCCTGATAATAATCCCTCAAGAAAAAAAACAATTGGCCGCTTCAATCCATGACTGTTTGTGGGGACGCTGCTGTGCGCAATTGGCTGCCGCGTTTCGCCCACAAACATACGGCCAATTCACTTCACAGTCTATTCTGCGAAGCGCTTTGAGACGTCGAGGAGACGCGAAAATTACCAAACGCAAGGATTATTGTTAATTATTATTTTATCCTAAAATAACGTTTCGGTGTAATCATTCATATGTTTCAGATTTGGTTCTTTTATCTGTTTTAACCATGGCCAGAGGTCAGTCACCCCACTGTGTCTCTTGCTGCATTGCCCTTAAATAATAGTACCAGCGGTTGAAGCAGTTATTAAATCACTGTATCTCACTAAGGTGTATGGTTACTTTAACCATATATAGATACAGTCAACTCGAGTATCATTTCAGACAGAAAGACCTGGGGATTTGGCACTGATCTGATTCCAGGAAATGATTATTCTCAGCCAGAGTCGAATATGCATTTTTTTTTTTAAAAACCCACCCCCCCCCCCCAAAAAAAAAAACATTTTTGCTGACTTTTTGTTTCAGTAAAATATTTGTCGCACCTACTTTAGCACCTTAAAAGGAGCTGTCGACCACTGGTTAATTTATGGAGCAGGTTCCTAAATCTGCCAATAAAGCTAACCATTAAATCTCACCAAATTGGTGTGAGTCCCTTAATTGGCAGATTTGGTGGGGGGGACAATTTAGCAATAAAAAATACGAATTCAAGGCACCCACTGGTACTTTGGAAATAAATAAAATGCACCACAGATTGCAATGCATGAAAAGAAAAAAAAACTGAGCATCCAGTCCTTTGCCTTTAGATGATTAAACCCCCCCAGCCAAACCCATCTGTGGACTGGAACCATCTCCAACCAGTCCATCGACTGAATTCGACTAAGAAATCCTGCACCACACGGTTAGTGTTGGAAGCAACTTTTTTTTTATTGGGAAAAAAAAAGAGATGAATTTTTGATGCAACGTGGAAAGATGAAAGTCGATGCAGTTGATTTCATCCCATCCAATGCATGTTGCTGCTCAATCTGATTTGGTGCAAAAAAAAAATCCTCTCCCACCCATCCAAAAAAAAAAAGAATCACCATATGTATTCCCAGCTATAAATAGAAGAGGCTGATTAGTAAAGGCAAGTTATAATTCGAGACGGATCCTCGACCCCACTGTTTATCAGATCAGTGACGCTGGAATCCTGCATCTGTAAATGGAGCGCTATTATACAGAGAGGATATATAAAGGACTATTCCACACCAAAAGGCTATCCCAGCCAAGAGCTCCACAAACCTGCAACTTGATTCCTTACTCAAGTCAGGAGGAACACACCGGTAAGATCTCCTCTCCCACCTTCTCTCAAGTCGGTAGACTCCCACCCCACCCACCACCCATTTGCAGATAGACAAGTTGATCTTTTTTGCATAAGGTCTTCTCTCTCTTTCTTTAGATCAATCAACTGTTTTCTCTAAACGAGTTGGGTTGTTTGGTTGCTTGGTTGCTTGGTTGGTTGGTTGGTTGGTTAATTACACATTGCATCCTAGAAAACATCGCCTGCTTCAAACATTTACTGTGGCATCTTTATTTTATTTGGGGGGTGGGTGGGGGGTTATTGGGGTGGTTGGGAGGTTCTGAGATTGAGGTTGTCACTCAGAGCTTTGATGATATTTAATGTTTGAAGCGAATTGCATCAGCAGTTAGTTGGTGGTTGCTGTTTAAGTGCAAGACAAGAAAATGAACACATGCAATGTTACACTGAAAGTAATATAACATACATATATGTATATATGTATGTATAAAACGGTGCGTATTATACATGTGCATTGGTAATTGGTGATTGACTTCCAAGCACGATTATCAGAAAGCAAGTAGCCTGCAAAGTGGACGACTCATTGGAAAACAAGAAATGGAAAGATCTCAATATTATGTATCTGGATCTTGGAGCATTCTGCATTGTAGCTTTAAGATGCAGGGGAAGGGGCCACTGGATCGACATTTCAAACAGCTGGATCCAAGCCAATCCTACCATGTAACTGTGCAGAATCTATAGAGCCACTTGCACAAGCCAGGGAATGAGGAACCCTTCACTGTTGAAACGAGCTCCTCGAAAACAAGTGGGCGAGGCACCTGCTAGGACCACCTGTTGCATTCATATTCCCAGTAAACAACGAGCAAAAGCTGCTGCAACAGAAAGCAAAAGAAAACCGTTCCAACTCTTTCAGTGTCTTAGCAGTCAATTCAAGCAATCCCCTCCACCCCTCCCGTTCACCACACACACACACACACACACACACAACACACACACACAAAAGTTCCTAAGAGAAAGTTTGCAAAAACTTGCATTGGGATATTGGGATAGATTTTTATTTTCTCCTCATTCTCTTGTTACAGCTTCATCATGTCCATCACAGATATACTCACTGCTGCAGACATCGCCTCTGCTGTGTCCCAGTGCTCTGGTAAAGTATTTTCTTTTTGTCTCCTTTTTTGAAAGCAATTCAAATGTGTTCAGCAGAAATAGAAAGCAATTAAAATGCAGTAATATCAAGGCTTGAAACTTTCGAAGTCAACGTGTTTTATATATATATATATATATAGTCTGTCACTGATGTAAACGGTTGATGTTAAAACAATATTGTACTTAAGACCAGACAGAAAAAAAAATTGCAAATCATTGAGTAAAAGTGGAAGAAAGGTGAAATGGAGTAGTTTTTTTGGACACCCAATTTTGGTTCAGGTCAGAGTTTTGCAGTGTTCAGGGGTAATTATGTATTCCCCTCATAAATAAAATCTCTTGTTGACTGATGAGTTACAAGGAGGAAGAAATTCTCCTTTAACTGTGCTAGACCTGGAATAAATATCACTTCTCAGATGAAGGCTCTACGGTTTCAGCTTGAAGCTGGCGTTACAAGAGTCCTATTTCGCTCCCCCACATTCTTACACTATTTCCAACCCTGGTGTCTTTCGAATGTTCTGATCAAATTGCTCGCTCCTCATTCCAAGGTCCATCTGAGTTCGATATTTATGGCATCTCAACATCATTCTCCTGTTGTTATATTTCCAACCAGCCGTCAATTCTTTCTGCCACAAGAAATTTTTCACAACCTGTGGTCTCTCCAAGAAGAGTGAGACTGATGTCAAAAAGGTTTTCAAGGTGCTTGATCAAGATCAAAGTGGGTACATTGAGGATGCTGAGCTCAAGTAAGAATCTCAACTTTAATAGCTAACCATAAAGATCGTACTACTTATGCAATGTAGGAAGAAAGGCACAAGGCACTTGAGATCTCTGCATTAAAAGTCCATAAGCAATGCCAATATAGACATGTTCAAAGATCTACTAATATTTTATATTTTTGAACTTGTTAATCTCATTTATCTTTACCAGCCATCTTTGACCATCCTTTCCACCAATTTTGTCTCTCTTGAAGGCAAACACTCCTGTATATAATAGCAATAATCCTTGCATTTGATATTGCGCCTTATCACATCTCCGAGACGTCTCAAAGTGCTTCACAGAATATACTGGAAAGCGAATTGACTGTATATTTTGTGTGGCAAAAGATTTACTCATATTTTATATTCTAGTTATTTTATGTTTATTATCTCATTTATCTGTACCATGTATGGTTCTCCAGGGCACTGAGAGAGTTGGTAGTAGCTTCATCGGAAGAGCAATCACCAACACTAATACAAGGGCCTCCTTACCCTCCTGGGGTACATTGTTACAGTTACACATTGCCCCTCCCTACCTTTCCTAAGTGACATGCGTGAGCTTGGCTAGTGAATGTCAACCAATACTGTAGCTCAAGCTCAAGCCCATTTTCACCTGAAATCCACATGTAGACTTTCCAGTGAGGTCAATAGACGATGATTAAGTTTTTCTCCTCTCCTATCTCAGGAACACGAGGGCCAACTATATGAATTGAGCCCGAGGATTAAAATCCGGTTGCAATTCTATGTAGCAATTTTAGCGATTCTAAAATCCTATCAGATCAATGTAAAAACGACAGCTGAGAAAGGGTATTTTTAAAATGCCTATTAGGATGCCGCAGATTCACAACACCACACATCTTAGATCTTGGGTTGGAGCCAAGGTATTACTTGTGCACGCAATAAAGCCACAATAGCTCTCATCCCAAGCAATGATACTTTCACATTTTTGTCTAAATTAATATGTGGTGTTGGAAATAAATATTAGTTGAGGGAAAATGGGGGCATATTTCTCTGCTGCCGACAACAACAACAACTTGCATTTATATAGCATCCCTCATGCCGGGGAGTGTCCTGGAGTGCTTAACACTGGCGGAGTCTGACCAACCTGTGGATGCAAGTTTCTAAGGTGATTGTTGTATTATTTTCTTTATTTCAGGCTGTTCCTCCAGAGCTTCTCCACAGGTGCCAGAGAACTGACTGAAGCTGAGACCGCAGCTTTCCTGAAAGCTGGAGATGAAGATGGTGATGGCATGATTGGAGCTGATGGTGCGTCAAATCTTTGCAAAATATCCTTTGCAAATGATGTTTACATTTCGCATATTGTGCATTTCTTGTACCCAAATGAGTAAACATAAATGCTGAAGTTCCATCAATGATGAAGTCGTAACACAAAGTCACATGTTAATGTAATCTGAATGCATGATGTCAGTTTGACTTATTTGGCAGCATTGTTGCATTTGAGGCAACAGGTTGTGGGTTCAAACGTCACTTTGACCTCATAGCCCAGTCAGTTATGGGGGAACATGACTTTGTGATCCTTAAAGATGAGAGACACTAAGTTCCCATCTGCCTTTTCTTCCGGTAGATATTAAAGACGCCATAACACTATTTGAAAGGAAGAGGGAGTTTCTCCTGGCGTCCTGACCTACAAGCCTCCAGTCATAAATGGTTAATTTACCTGATGGTTGTTTATGGTGTATACAAAATCGTTGCCAAGTTTGCCTACAAAAATCGTCTTGATGCTTTACAGTAAATTCTGTGAAATGCTTTGAGACATTCAATTGATAGGTTCTTCTTTCTTTGAGTTTGTTTGCCCTTGTGTAATGTGATAGTCGGATTCATCTTCTTCCAAACTGATTTTAATCCAAATCATCTGTTTTACAGAGTTCTGGAAACTGGTGTCAGCATAAACCATTGAAGACCAAGATAAGTGGAACAGATTTTTCATGGCTGAAGTTCGACACGTCCTGTAAAAACGTTGCACATTGCATGAGGCACAGATTATTTATTTGTACATTTTTATAGTCAAATAGCACTGGCGAAATGCCTGTACATTGTACTTGTTGGATGAAATACAATACAATACAAGATTGCAGCCAACAGACATTTCAGCCTTTGTTTTCAATGTCTTAATTTTTATAGAAGGTGCCGTATGGATTGAACTAACCCAGATGAAACATTTGTAAATTGTGGTTAGAAGGAGGAAATCAAGAATAAAACAGTTTGGCAAAGTCTCTGTGTATCGCTTTCTGTCCCATCTGCTGTGATCTGGAAACCGTAAACACAATAGCATCCCACTGTTTCATAACTTGGTTTATAGTTGAATAATTACGTAGATTTTGCCTTTTCACTTGCATGTACTTTTTAATTTAGTATTTGTTAAGATTTTTTTCCAAACGTGTTAACCTCAATAAGATGTTTTGCCTTCTTGAACATTAGGTAACATCATTGAAGTTTTCCACTCAGTTAACTTTGAGAAGATTTTTTTTTAAATTGTTAGCATTATTTGAGCCTTTTTTGAAAATCAAGTGGTATTGGGTGGGACAATGGGAACACATGTTTATGGACAATATGTGTGTTCTACCGCAATCTATTTCTAATTACTAATTCGTATCTTTCATTCAGCAAGACCCACAGAACATAACCAATTAAGTGACTGTTAAAACACCATGGAAATAGTTTTTTATATTATAATTAATATATTAATCTCCGCATTTAATGTAACGCCAGATCATGTTGTTGAGACATCTCAATTTGCTTCACGGGAATTTACTGTGATATTTGTAGGTGGATATACTTCGGAAACATAATTTTGCATTTTGAATTCAATGTAAGTTAAAGTATACAAATATAATTGACTCACACTTCACATTTCCAAGGACAAAAACTTTTTTGTGCGAAATAAATAATGCAACAAGCTATTCTTTTAGCTCCTAAATACTCATTACATTTATAGGCTGATAACAAATTCCCTCCTGTTATTTTCATTTGTATAGCTTCCCCCTCTCCAGAAGACTCATTGGTTTATTCAGTGAGTAGTTGAGCAGCGCAGAGCTCAGAATAGAAAGGCTAGAAAATTAGTCTGGGTTTCAATTGTCAGAAAGACATGAAGAGGCGAATGCGACTTGAAAATTTGAAAGAGATAATATTTCAAGATTTATCCATTCAATCAATGCTTTATTAAAGTTGACTAAAACATATGGTCTGCCTGGGACCATTTCCTCACCACCTGTTGGACATTCACCATTTTGCCTATGATTAACCAGCACTGTGCCTTTTCTATTGAAATAGTATAAAATTTGTTAAGTAAAACATTTTTCCTCTGCTTGTTCAAAGACACTTCCTCACATGACACTAAGCCATACACACAAGACAGCTCTAGGTTGGCTTCTCCAATGTTTGATGTACTAGATGTTCTCAGTCAACAATAATAGAACCACAATTGATAGTGGGATTCACTCTGGGGTTTAGGGAATGTGTGCCTGCTTCTGATCATTGCTAAGTGACCCATGTTTAAAACATGTATGTGTGACTCTTGGGAGAAGAAACAAGCATTATTTCCCTTATTCCACAGTTATATATAATAATAATAATAATCCTTGCATTTTATACATCTCATCATTGAGACGTCTCAAAGCGCTTCCCGGAATATATTGTAAAGTCGATTGACTGTGTACTTTGTGGGCAAAATGGAATAATTTGCTAACATTTGCAGGGAATGGGAAGGTCCAGGCATTCACTTATGCTTTATAATTGTATATGTCACATAAAACAAACATCCCAAAGTTTTTTTATAAAATATAGCTGATTGGAAATAAAAGTGAGTGTCGTCATATGGATAAAAGTGACCGGCAATCTGTGCCAGCATCATCTCACACACACAACAATGAGATTAATAAACAATTAGTTCAAATTTGGATAATTTGGAGAGAATATAAACCAGGTTAAGCAGGAGAAAAACATTATGTTTCTTTGAAATAACAACGACTTTGAGCCCATTTAAATCACATAAAATAGAAATCTAAAGTTATAACACAATCAATCAATGAGGTATTACATTCCGCATAAAATCACGCTGGTCCACATTGAGACCTGTAAGCACAAGAGTTCAGTTTAGATATAGTATTGTTAATTTTTCAAGATAAGATACCCAAAGAAAGCTAATTGCCCACTGAACCCAAACTTGAACTATCACCAAAATGTTGTACCACTGCCCTCTAGTAGACATTGATAGGATTACATTATAAATGTTTGTAAATTCTAATATGCTGCATTTCTCTACCTTCAGAACTTTAAATGTTCTACTGATTCACTACTAAATTTACTTTTGAGTCCAAATTCTGTGCAACTATGCAGAGCCCATTTAGACCACAGTGATCGCATTCCACTGAGAACAAAGAGAAGCCCTTGGGGTACAAAGATACTATGCCAACGATTGATTTGTTTTGCAATGCAACAGAACATAAGTCACCGCAAATGACTGAACCCAGGCTTTGTGAACAGGAGTGTTTGGATGAGATGTTAACCTATTCAGGAATCACATCCTGTTGTCTGCCTGCTCTGATTTAAACGAACTTTGAAGAACCCATTTATTTTGAAATATTTGAAAATGGGTATGGTAAAAGGCCGGGGCAATGGGATAAAATCAACTGGTGGAATAGACTAGATTGGTTGAATGGTTTCCTTCTATTCCTATTTTCCTATATTTCTTTCCACTTGTTCTGCAAAAGTGAACACTGCACTTTACAGTATATCCTGTCCGTCTGACATGTAAAACACTACCAGATCTAATGATTAGTATTTTTTACTACATTCTCTCTTAGAAAGTGTAGTGTCTGTGTATCAGTAGGCCAAGGCAGCAGGCAACTTGTGCACAAAGCAATGTCACAAAACAGCCTTGAAATGAATGTTTTTTTTAAATCGGGGGCAATTGAGGAAAACTGGGAGAAACACCCTTCTCTAACGTGAATTATTTTTGCAATCCCTGTTCAACAGACAATGTAACTTTCCATCTTGAATACCACTGAAAGGTACTGTGACTCTTTTCCCCTCAACTGGTGCTGATAGAGGCTGAGTTACTCTGAATGTGGATATTCTTAGAACTTTTCATGCAGTACACAGGGAGGATAAAAAGGGAATCAGATCGCTACCAGTGAAGAGACTATCAGTTTACGCCACCATATCAGTTTATGATGCTAATCTGTTAATACCACAGATCAGGCATTGACTTGTGCTGTTATATAGCAACTAAATACGACTCTAGTGAGAGATCTGGGGTGTGTTTTTTTCGAATATCAGCAACATACAACTGCAAGCTAATGAATATAAATACGGTTGTGCCCCTTCCAGACAGAATGGGAAGCATTTTATTTACTAGAAGGTTTCCTTCTATGCTAAATTGGGAAGAACGGGGGAAATATGTAACTGAAGATTCATCGCAGGCCAGGATGAGTTCAGTCAAAACTGTTGTGCGCTAAGGTTTTTCTGGATGGCTTCTGTTGACAGCTTGCAGTAGGGTGCTGTTCAATGCCATGTAAGGCTTGCGAGATCCTATATCTACTAATGAGGCATTTTGCAATATTGTTACTACCAGGGCTCTGAAAATAACTCCTGAATGTCATAACTGCAGTGTGTGCATTCATTGCTGGAATAACCTTTGCAGTCAGTGGGAGGCACACAGAGTGCCGGGCTCGTTGGACTGTGGTGGGGTTTGGACCGGGCTGGTTTGAAGCCACCATAGCTCCTGCTCACACGAGGAACCGAGGGTGACTGTAGCTTTTACCCGGGGTGCAAAGACTGTCTTTAAGAGGAATTGGTCTCTTAAAGAACATAAAATCATAAGAATTTGCTAGGCTAGACCAAGGTCCATCCAGTTCGCCTTCCACCATCCTGGCAGTCACGTGACATGCCGTGTCTCAAACTATATATTGTCAGACAGAATGTCTGTCAGACATCAAGTCCTGGATGAGAACTAAATGTCTTCAGTTGAACGTCAACAAGACCGAGGCTCTCCTGATCGGCTCCCGTCAGCACCTCCACATCTCAGGCGCTGACAGCATCACCATTCATGGCTGCACACTCCACCTTGCTAAGCCAGTCCAGAACCTTGGCGTCTTGTTTGACCCTCAACCTATGTTCCTTCTAATTTTTAAAGGCTGTGTGTGTCACCATAGAAAAAGTGCGCAGCACACAACAGACTGCTGAGCAGCTGCGCATGCACGCAGCTTAGAAGGAACAGTGCCCTCAACTATCATTTCTACCCCATATCCACGCCATGACCCGCTCTACCTTCCCCCACCTCCGCAACATCGCACGGCTCCACCAATGTCTCACACTGCAGGCCACCGAGCCCCTCATACACGCCTTCATAACATCCAGGCTTGACTATGCAAACTCCCTGCTTGTCGGCTTCCACAACTCCTCCCTCCATAGGCTGTAGATCATCCAGAACTTGGCAGCCCGTGTCCTCTCCCGTACCAGACTCTGTGACCCTATCACCCACATCCTCGTCCGACTCCACTGGCTTCCCATCACACAGAGGATACAGGTCAAGATCCTGGTCCTCACTTTCAAAGCCCTCCATGGTCTTGCTCCCCACTACCTTTGTGACCTTCTAAAACCCTACCAACCTGCCCGCTCCCTCCACTCAGCAGGCTCCAGCCTGCTTCACCTCCCCCATCTCTCCAGTCCCCACATTGGCGAGCGGGCCTTCTGCCACTCTGTCCCCACCCTCTGGAACTCCATCCTGCAGTCCCTCTGCCTCGCCCCCTCCCTCACCTCCTTCAAGGCCCATCTCAAGACCCTCCTCCTTGACTATGCTTTCGATCACCCTGCTTCCTCTCCAGCTCAGGTCTGAAACACTGATTGTCCAATGCTTTGGGATGTCCTCCCAACGTGAAAGGCGCTATACAAATGTAATTTTGTTGTTGTTATATCCTGAGATATTAAAACCTGCAACCGGTGCAAAAAAAAACCACACCCAGTGTTTTTGAAGTTTCTTTGGCAGAACACTGAACAACTTTTAACTTTAAAACGCAGGTTTAAAATGTTTGTCAAACTGATGGAACAGAAATGTTCTTACTTCAACAATATTGATCCAGCTATTGGAGAGATAAAGTGCATCAGGAGAAACTCTGTTGTAAACTGATGTCAGTGTGTATCAAGGGTCAGAGGTGGGCACGAATAAGAAACTGGCTCAACTTTCATTTATATAGTGCTCTTCATGCATGTTAGC